CTAAAACTCATTGAATTGTACACTTGTAATGGGCAAATTGTATGGAAAGGGAATTAGATCTCAATTTCTGAAAGAAATCTTTTTTCCCCTCTACCGAGAAACTGTCAAGATGCAGGCATCACATTGTAGAACTTGATGATGCAGGGGCGCCGGGGGGGCGCAGGCGGTTAAGCCTCTGCCTTCAGCTCAGGTCATGATCTCGGGGTCCTGGGATCGAGCTGCACGTGGGGCTCCCTGCTCAGTGGGGAGCCTGCTTCTCCCTCTGCCTGCTGCTCCACCTGCTTGTGCTCTCTCACTCTGTCTCTCAAAGAAATAAATAAAATCTTTAAAAAAATAAATAAAAGAAAACACTTGAACCAAGCTGCCTGGGTGGCTCAGTGAGTTAAGCGTCTGACTCTTGGTTTCATGATCTCAGGTCAGGACCTCAGGGTCCATGGTGGGGGCTCCTGCTCACGGGGAATCTGCTTCTTCCTCTCCCTTTCCCCACAGCCCCACAGTGTGCGTGCACTCTCTCCCTCTCTCTCTCAAAGAAAGAAAGAAATCTTAAAAACAAACCAAACAGAAAGCAACTTGCCGACACCAGTCCCAAGTAAGTACCCTTCGAACAGCCAGAGCACACTCCCGTCTTCAGGGCACTAACCTCATCATCTAGGGAGCTGCTCTAATGTCACCCCCACCTGCCGGTGGCGAGGGTGCAGGTGACTGACTTCATTCACTCCCTCAGGGGACACTGACGTGCCAGCTGAAGGGGCACAAGGGTGGACAGGACAGAGCGCTGGTGGACGGAGACGCTGGCCACACAGTCACCGAGCGCGCACCTGCGGGATCACGGCCGTGCGGCGTCGCCGGAAGCGCGGGCCGTGAGGACACCCATGAGGATCAGTGGGGCGGGGGCGGGGTGCTGTGTTGGTCTCTGATCTTTAACCTTGAAACAGCAGGAGCGCCTGGAGGAGGTTGAGGGACGGGGTGGGACTGTGTTCACAGCAAGCAGTCGTCTGGGGCACGGTGTGGGCTCTGCCGGTCCAGGGACAAGAGGGCAGCATGGAGAACACGGTCACAGAGATGGACGGGAGAGCTGGGGTGAACTCTATGTCTTGTAAATTAGACCTAATAAAGTTGCTGTTTTTTTTTTTTTTTAAGTTAACCACTAGCTGAGAGAGGGAACAGCAGTGAGACCAGATGTTCAGGTCAGAGAGAGGGAGGGAGGGTCCTAGCATCCCTTCCAGGCAATGTGAGTTTTCACTGAGCAGGTGTCAAGGGAGAGTGAGCCCCGCCCCTGGGATGGGAGGTCAGAGCTGAATGCGAGATGGGTCCCTGGCCATGGCCGTGGCCATGGCCGTCCTTCACTCAGGTGTGGTAACAGAGGCCCTGGGTGTGGGAAGAGTACGGAGTGAGCCCTGGAACTCCGGAGCTTCACGTGAGAGGTGAGCAGAAGGTGGCGAGGTCACCGGGGAGAGGAGCGATTCCAGGAAAAGGACTCTGGTTTGATGGGAGACGAGTCCCTGGTTGAGAGGGGCAAGGGAGCCAGGCCCAGCCCACCCATGCCTCCCCCACGCCGCTCAGCCACCGGGGCCAGGATGCTGCAGAGAGCAAGGCAGGGCGATACCCAACCCACAGACCCTCTGGAAAGACGGTCCTAAGACAAACCTCCGGGGGAGGGGAGCTGGGAGGTGACTCGTTCCCAGAAGCCTGGACCCTGTGAACTCCTACAAGAAGACAGACACAGCTCGCTGCCCGGGGGCCAGAGTCAACAGCAGTGTGTGCCCTGCGCCGTGCTCCAGTGGAGCTCTTCAAGGCAGCCGGTCATTCCCGCCCAGGCCTTCTGGAACCTTCTCTCACGACGGATGGTCTCTGTACAATGAGAGGCCAAGAGGGAGCGACAGGGGCTTGATTCTCAGCTACCAAACAAGGAGGGGGCTCAGAGATCGCCAAGACGGGTGAAGGAGTCCCAACACTGAACGTGGCGGAAGACCTCGGGTAGGGCCAACTACAGCGACGTCTGCGACAGAGGGTGGAGGGGGGCTCTGCCTGGCTCCACTGTGATCCTCAGGGACAGCAGAAGGCCAAGGTCACCTGGAAACCAAGTATGTCCAACAGTCCACGTGAAAGCCAATGATCGATGGCGAAGCGTCCCCGGCCGCTGACGTGTGCGGTCGGGAGGCGGGCCCCGTGTGCAGGGGGCAGGCGGCTACTCCGGGGAGAAGTTGGAGAGCGTGAGCGAGACAGGGAGGACGGAGGAACCGCGATACGTTATCTTCCGGGGGTCGGGACTGCAGCTCAGACGCTTACTCCTAAATCAAATACCGAAGCTGAAGACACGCACGTGACAAACAGAAGCATCGGCAACGGGAAGGAGGAGAGACTCGTTCTCCCAGAGCTCCTGCCGGGAGGCGGCCTGTCCCCGCACCTCCGTGGCACGGGTTTGCACGGGTCCCGCTGGGCCCGATGCGCACGGGGCCGACCGCTGCCGCTGAGCGACTCGGAGCAAGCCCTGGGCGGGGGTGGGCACAGGGGCTGGCGCTGTGCGCCCAAGGAGGCCCCGTCACGGGTTCCGTCCACCTTCTCCGCGATGGGCCACACGAGGCGCGTTAGAAACCGGATTGCCGGGCGCCCGGGGCCCGCTCAGTTCCCACTTCCCGCAGAACCACGGGTATCAGAAGAACCGCGTTTGTACGGACTTCCACACGCGCCACTCGCTAGCAAGGCCCGGTTTGCCGGCCCGTTCTGCGCTCGGCCCCACACTGAGCCCTCCCTGCGTGTGCGGCATGGGCGTGTGCCGTTCCCGATGGCCCTGTGAACCCCGCCGGGGGAGGACTCGGCTCCGCAGGCTTCAAGGAGGCCTCCCGGACGCTCCCGCTCAGAGCTGCAGAATTCCTCCCACTGGAGGGCTGAGGCTCAAAACAGCAGTCACTTAAAGAAGAGAGAGTTCCAGATGGCACCTGGGGGTCAGGGGGCAGGGAACGCACCAGGGACAGGAGAGGGACAGCCTCCCGGCTCCTCAAGACACCATCTCCCCTTGGGCGGGCTGACACAGGGGTGAGAAACCGGCCCCGGGCAAGATTCCAGGGTCCGTCTCGCGTCCCTGGCTCCAGGACTCACCCTGGCAAGGGCCCACACGCAGGAACAATGGCTACTTTGTTGCCGGGGTTCATGCCCGTGGGAGTGCTGGCCTCAGCCTCCAGGGGCTTTGTTTGTCTTAACAAAGTGAAGAGAGGTGATCTTTAGAAGGTTCCGGAAACAATTACGCTCCCGGGAGCAGAGACAAAACCCCTGGCAGGCCTTCGTAGCTGTGGGCCTGGGGAACAGGTGTCTCTCCGTCGGTAATTCCCGACAGGTTCCCGAAGCCTCTGGCACGGTGGACAGAATCCACCACGCCCCCTGCCAGGAAGAGGTCACGACAGGCCAGGGTGGGACACAGGCTTCCAGGCCAGCTCCCATGGCCCCGTACTCACGAGACCCCTCATCGTGGTGACTTTTCCAACGTCCCACGTTCTTACTCACTACCCGTGGGGCATCTCAACAGCCACGATGGCAAAACAGTCTGTCTGTTGTGAGTGTGTGCGCCCCCCAGGTGTGGGCAGCGCTGGCTCGGAGCAAGGACACTGACGGAGGTAACAGACACTCATGGGCCCCTGCTGTCCCCTGGCCCAAGCTGCACTCCTGGTCTACACCGGCTCACTTCACACCCGCAGGTGGGCCCCAGGCTCAAGACCTTTCGGTGCCGTTCCCCAAAACACAGGGCGGACAGCAGGGAGGTTGACTCCAATCCATCTCGGATGCACCGGCCGCCGTGCCATGCCTTCTGTGAGGCTGCCCATGGGCCGCCTTCCCTGGTGACAACAAGCTACAGGAGCCAACGCGGCAGCAAGTGACCATGTCCAACACCAGCCAGTGGCAGGTTTGGAGGCTCCAGGCCGAGTGTCCCAGGCCGCCTGATCCTCCCCATCTGCTGGCACCAGGAGAGCGTCGGTGGGGGTGTTAGGTGGGTGACGTCCCGCCTCCTCGTCCACGCTGGTTACAGGCTCGCTCACTCTGTGTGACACACGCCCAGAAGGACTGCTCGCCAGGGCCGCCCGGCTCGGGCTGTTTCACCGACTCAGGGAAGTGACACACGCGAGGACGTTAATTCCACATCCGGCCCGTGGGCAGCACGCAGGGCGTTCCCAAAGGACGCTTGGGCGCTGACCCAGGACCCGGGTTTCCCACAGAGGGACTATGTCTGCGGGACACTCGGCATCGGGGCGGGAGGGAGCTGAGGAGAGCTCGCCCCACAGTCAGAGCGACGGAAAGACAGCACGCGGCGGGCCGCTGCCCAAGCCGAGCCAGAACAGCCTGGAAACGATGAAGGTGAGCGGGAGGAGAGGAGGGAGGCAGAAACCAGACGCGCATCCAGCCGGAAAGGACGTGACCCAGGTAAAAGAAGGAAGATCTACAAGAGGAGAAGAAGAAACCACAAAACCTGGTAAAAAGAAAAAGAGAGACAAGGAACCAGTGGCTCAAAAGAATAATTGTCGAGATGAGGACGGAGAAGCCGGAACCTCCGCCACGGTCCGTCAGGAATTCTGGGGGACAGGACAGGACGGGTCCAAGTAGTCACACCATGAGGGAACGCCCGAGAACATCACGGCGGACAATGAGGAGAGCACCAGGGATGAAGCAGGTACGGAGAGGCCCACGGGCACGTGGCCGCTGGCCCTGAAACAGGGAACCCAGCCCGCAAGCCAGAAGGAGCAGCGTGGGAGAAAATCCTGCAGCTCCTCCCCAAGGCTGGTCCCTGAGCCCTCGAGGTCTGGCCTCCCCACTGCCCCCCCCCGTAACAGGAGCTCAGCAAGTGGACCAAGGCGCCGCAGCACGCTAGGAGGCAGGCTAAGGTGCAGGTGACAGGAAGGAGGGGAGGGCGGGGCACGAGCCCGACATGCAGGACGCCGCCAGGACAGGCCGTGCGGAAGGTGACCCAGGTGCCCTGGAGCTCATGCCGCACTGGGACAAACAGGGCCTACCGTCTGCTGCAGGTCCTGGATGAGGATACGGATGACCAGCGTGTTGCCTTGGCTCTCCTCCGTCCTGGCGGTGCTGGGCTTCTCTGCCGTGGCCCGGATGGTGTCATAGATGGTTTCTTCTTTGGAGCTGTCCGACTCTGACCCCACCGAGTAGTCGGAGAAGCTCTGGGCCATCTCGTCCTCGCTGGAGGTCGGGCTGCGCGGCATGGCTGCCCAGCGTCTGTGAGGAGGGGGAGAAGAAACACAACCGGGGCATGGGAAAACTGCACACAGAAACCCCAGGGCTCGATGGAGACCGACGTCTCAGGTTCACGGTTGCACCTGCTGGTGCGACAGCCGGCAGAGCTGCGGAGCGTGACGCACGGGCCTCTAGGGGCAGGGAGAACACAGCACACCTCCCCCCTGGGCTGCCCCCAGAGCCCGGACCTGAAGGCAGCCATGGCCGGGACCGGGAACAGCAGGCTCTGGCCCCCGAGTTGGGCAACCCCGCAAGCACATGGAGCCCTAACCAGCCGTGGCCAAGACCATAGCCTACAGGGATCCACCAAAAGGCCACAGGGGCAGTCTGAAGCCTTCCAAGGCAAGAAGAGAAGGTCCCTTCTGTTTTTCTTTGAAGGCAGGGCATCAGGAGAGGAAGAAACGCAAGCTGCGGGTCAGAGCAGTACCAGGTCATGGCTCCATAACCGCTCTGCCTCGACACAGAGTGATGATGGGTAACATGTAAAAACAGAACAGAAAGGCAAACGACAGGGCCAGACTCAGAAGGGAGATAGTCCCAGGGCCCAGGAGTCCGGCAGAGCCCAAAGCCATGAGCAGGCTGACTTGGGGGAAGACTCGGGGGTTTTCAAGAGTCTGTGGTGGCTGGGAGTGTGGCTTCCCCATCATTAAGTCTAGTTCTCCTGCAAAGACCAGCTCAGGGTGCCAACCGCGGCTGATGGGAAGGACGAAGGAGGACATGGCATAACTCCGGGAGCACGCTGCCCAATGACACCCCCGTCTCTGTGGGCAGGGGTCAGGAGAGGTTAGGATATGAGCTGGTGTGAGCCAGGGATGCGGGGGGGCTGACAGAGAGCGTGCTGTCCCAAAGCAGCAAGTCCACGTCTTCGTGAACTCTGTAAAGGAGGTCAAGACCCTGTTCACATGGAAAGTGGGCAGGGGTGTCCCCTGCAAGAAAGGGGCTGTCCTGAGCAACCAGGGACGGAGGTCAACCCGATCATTGACAGACTGTCCGGTTAAATCACGGCATCCTCCCACAGAAGGCACAGCTGCGAGGAATGAGTCCCCCACACACGGAGGACCCCCCCCCAAACAGAATATCCAGCCATTTACGGGATGGAGGGGGAGGGAGGAGCTCACCTGTGCACCTGCCCCAGGCTCTAGGCCCAGCAAACTCCCGTGTTTCGTGACTGGGGGAGGCCCAGAAAAGTCCCAGGTGGGGCATGGTTTACCCAGCGACAATTCTATGTTCATCGTGGGAAAATGGACACTCACTGTTTTATTTCCAGAGTTCTATTTACGTTCAGCAAGCGCCCGCCGGAGCTGGAAGCATCCCGCTGCTCTGCCCACAGGGCCAGTCCGGGGAGGCTGGCAGCCACTGGGGGGGCGCTCCCATCTGCACCCCAGACCTTCCCGGGCTCACCAGACACCCAGGTGCACACAAAGCCTAACATAACGAAGCAAAGGGCAAGACCATGACCGGGATCGGGGCTCCCTTGCTGCCAAGAGCATCTGCACAGTCTTTGGAGAAAGGACCAAGATCGTGGAACCCACAGACAGTGTTTTTGGCCTGCACGAGGTTTTAAATATCTATGCAAACCCAGATTTCTGGTTTATGGTGACCATCAGAAAGCTCTGACAATGCTGGGGACAGCCCCGTAACACCCAGGGGCAGGGATGAATGCCGGCAACCACCCCTCCCCCAGCATGCCCTCTCCAGGTGCACCTCAGGCTTCCCTCCTTGGTATCAGTCCCCTTCCCAGTCCTCCCGCCGTGCGTGAGAGCCTGACGACAGACCCATCAGTTCACTCATACCTCTGCCTCCTTCGAGACCCCCTGCGAGGGGTCACCGGGCCAGTCACATCTCAAAGAGCAGATCCTCCAAGTCACCCGGGAAGATTATCTTTTTTTTCCAATTAAAATCTCCAAAGCTAACCCCCGCGTGATTCCGAATTAAAATTTCAGAGCAAGGGGTCTTTTCTGTATTCACAGCCAGCCGCCTTTGCGAGCTCAACTTCATGCTTTCTCAATCAGAGGAATGCAAACTCTGGCGAGGGACAAGACAGTGGTGGCTGGGGAGAGGGTCTGGGTGCTCCTGGCTCCGTCTGAGCAGGGTCCCCACCTGCCTGGCTGTAGTGGCTAGCCACGTGCTCCTTGTACGCTATGCAAAGACTCTAACATATGACACAGTAACAGTGACCACATAGAGCTACTGTAACAATGTATAATTATTTCTGTATCGTGTCTAATTGCAACGTTACAATAAATAACAAACGTTCACTTGTAAATATGTTACAGAATTGCATACATGTAATTATTTGCAACTACCTCCCAGGTTCCAAGGAGCGGTACGCTCTAGAACCCTGGTTCTTCATCCTGGCTGCCGAAGTTACTTGGGGAGGCTTTACGAAGACACCAACATGAGAATTTCTGAAAGAACTGGGCTGCGACGCTGCCCCTGGAAGCTCCCCCGGGGACCGTAAGGAGAAGCACCGGCCAGGCCCTTCAAGAGGGAGCACAGGCTGCAGCCCGGGGGCGTGGAGACACAAACCTGCCCTCTCCTGGGCATGAGGAACAGCGGGAGGGGCGCGCCGCTCACCGCCTCAGCCGTCAGCATGGACACAGGCATGAGGTCCCCCACGCGGGGCCTCCAGTGGCTTCTTCCCATCCGGATGGGGGTAAGTTGGCCCAGAGCACCCTCTGCTCCAATAAAGAACTGCATCTTCCCTCCTCATCACCTGTCTGTGCCTCTTCTGAACCCAGCAGGGACCAGGGGACGCAGAGGGGACCCAGTGAAGGTGGCCTCGCACTCACAGGAGGGGATCCCTCTCTAATGAGGAGTGACCCGTCAGGGGATGCCAGGTGCAGGCGGGGGCTAACGAGGCCATTCCGGGCACACCGGGTCCACCAGCTCTTCCCAAGGAGGATGGGCGCCGGCTCTGCAAAGCTCCCGCTCAGGGCAGCTCAGAGCTTGGTGTTTGCACCTGGAAGATGGGCAGGTGGCCAGCTCCCAGCAGAACGCGGCACAGCACGGGCCCCACCACATCGTGGCCTTGCACGTCTGAGACAATCCAAGAGCAAATGGGATGCTCCGAGCCCCGCGGTTACCTCCCAGAGGACACACAGCCCCCCACCCCGCCATGCACTCCACCCCCACTTCGAACTAGCACCTCTGGCCTGAAACCTAAGAAACCCATTGCTTGCCATGTCTGCCCGCCTCGGCTCTTTTTCTCAAAACCCCCCACAGCCTCAATGTGCTCCATTTCCCGGGTCCTCTCGCTCAGGCAGCATTTCGGGGTCCGTGTGCACTGGGTCTGTTTATTCATCGCCAGCGCCCACGCCCCCAGCACTGGGGGCACCGCGGGTGCTCAGTGGACAGGGAGACGTGGGCAGAGGAGCCAAAGCACAGGCCCCGAGACGGCCGGACAGCGCGGCAGACGCAGCCACAGCCGGCATGCACGAGTGCCCACCACGTGCCCGATCTGCTGGCAGCTTCCCGGGGGGGGGGATTCCAGGCAGATGCTTGGAGAGGACGATTGTCAGGAATTCGTTGTCTTTAATGGTCACATCACACGTGACCACATGACACGTCTGCAGCTGGACTCGTGGGACTGGTGACCCACCGTGGACACACAGGTCTGAACGGTGAAAGGCGCATAACCCCCAGGAGGGTTTCATTTCCAGAAAACTAAAGGGGGCGGGATAGGATTGGAGGACGGTCATGCCCAGCTAAACTCAAACTCAGCTCCAGAAACAGACCTGACAACCCAAAAAGGAAGGGCTCCCGTGTCCTAGCTGCTCATGCGACCCACGGATCTCCACAGGAGGCCCCGCCACCACACCCCACTGCAGCCCACTGCAGCAGCTGGGGGGTGATGGTCATGAAGGGACGTGTCTGCCACCAAAGTGCGGGGGCAAAAGGCCCCACTGGACGAGTCCAAGGAGGAAGAGGAGGCCACATGCAAGCTGGTCCTTTGCAGGACAACCCGGGAGCCTAGGCAGAGACCTGAGCAGAAGGTCCTGACCTTAATCAGGGGCTTGAGCAATGAGACCAGCAGACCCGTGGGAACAGCAAAGCCCTGGGAAAACATTTAATTATTAACTCCTGGGCAGGACTCCCAGGCCCAGGTCACCAGAGCCACGTGAGAGAGAGGGCACCGGCCACAACTGCATTTCAGATAAAGCACGAATACATTTTATAGTATTTCCCGAATATCGGATGGGACGTACTTACACTAAAAAAATCATTCATCGTTCGTTGGAAGTTCAAACAGGACTAGGTGTCCTGCATTTTGTCGGGGGTGGGGGACAGGCGGGCTCTGAAAACAGCTGTGTCACGAAACCCAGCCCCCCTCGGAAAAGTCACTGCCAGGTCGGAGGAGGGAAGGTTACCCGCTGCCCCGGCAAACATTTTGGCACCACCGGCCTCTGGGTGGGGTGGGGGGGAGCTACAAAAACAGGTCAGCAAAGTACAATGATTCCCCCAGAGCCTGTTTTCTCACCTGCCCACCCCGGGGTGCCTGCGAACAAGGAAAAACAGAAGGAACGCCAGTAAAGGCCATTTTCACAAAGGCTCCGTATTTTACAGCTATCGTGTTCCAGGGAAACGTAAGGTCTTGAACTGGCTGCCGAACCCCCTCGCACCCCGGCTGGTGGGGGCAGCGGGGGGCAGCTAGATTTCCCACTCACCGCTTCCACCGCCACCGCAAACACCAGAGCTGACCTGGGACATGAGACGCACAGAAAAACAAAACCAAACCAAGTGCCCCCGGCTGCAGCGGACTTCATCAGGCTAGCGCTGCAGGCCCGGGAAGATCGCAGACAAAAATGTCGAGGTCCCACTGGCTGTTTTAATAAACACACACACACAGGTACAGGGGCAGAACGGGGTTTTTACTCCAGTGGACTCCCCGACAGCACCCTCATCTGTGTCACCCTGGCCCCAGGACTCGGGGACTACTCGCCCATGCCATGCTCTCAAATGTCTATGATTCGCTCATCCTC